AAAATTATTTTTTTCTCTTTTACTGTTTCCTTTAATTTGCTTATATAATTAATCTTTTCTTTTTAATCCAACACCCTATCAAAGGTAGCAGGAACAGAGTTTCTGACAGCCTAAGGTAGTGATAAATCATAATAAATTAATGCATGATGATTGAAAATATTTAAACATGCTCTACTGACTGGATAAGGTCAGATAAGAATGTTTATTGAAGTTTGGAAAATAAAACTTTAAGGTGAACTTAAAAAATTAAAAATACTAAGAAAGAATCCCATTTGCATGTTTGAGGAATATCATGGTCTGAGACCTAGGTTTTAAATCATGATTTCCAATGTCAGTACCTTACAGCATGAGCAACCAACACCACGGTGTTAGCTTAGGAGCTGTTCTTTTTTTTTTTTTCCTTCTTTTTTTAGAGATAGGGTCTTGCTCTGTTGCCCAGGCTGGAATACAGTGGTGCAGTCATAGCTCACTATGACCTCGAATTCCTGTGCTTAAGTGATCCTCCTGCCTCAGCCTCCCAAGTAGCTGAAACTACAGACATGTGCTACCATACCCAGCTAATTTTTAAATTTTTTGTAGAGACAGGGTCTTGCTGTATTGTCCAGGCTGGTCTCCAACTCCTGGCCTCAAGTGATCCTCTCACCTTGCTGGGATTGCAGGTATGAGCTGCTTGCGCCCAGCCAGGAGCTGTTCTAAATGGCCATTTCTGTACTTTTCTCTCTTTATTCTCTGATGACCCCCCTCACCACCTCATTCTTCTTCCCTAGACCCTATCCCTAAGTAAAATTTTCCAAAAATCTGTTGGTCAATGGCCACCTTCACAATTTTTGTCAAATCTGCGCACCACTCTATTGTTATTTACTGAATATTTTTTCCTTTAAGTTACCTGAAAGTGATTCCTTTCTTTATTAAGCCTTCTCCCAAGCAAGATATCCACTAAATATTTAACTATTTAAATACTTCTATGTCCCTCTGGCAGGATGTGTACGACCCTTGAAGGGTTGCATTAAGCGTTTAGGCAGCAATGACATTAAACCAAAGATGCCTGTGCCTTGCGCTGGGGCCCATGTGCTGAGGGGGCCTTGACCCTTGTAGCTCAGATCTGAGTGCTTTGTCAGAGAGGTTTCTGAGTTCGAACATTACTGCAGCCCTCTGAGAGGCAGGAAAAGCAAAGAAGGGCCTCTCTCTACCCAGATGGGTTGTCCTTTCCCTCTCACTGAGTTGGAGGGAGGCTTCGGATCATCCTGCCACCCTGTCCCCAATGTGTAAGGCAACTCGCTCCCCACCCTAATGCAGAACCTTCCATTTCCATGGTTAAACCCACTTTTCCTGCCTGACAGATAAAGAGGCAGAACTCTTTTTCTTGTGCTTGGAGGGCCTGATTTTTTTACTGAGGTCTAACTTCTAGGTACTTACTTTCTGTCCCAACATTCCAGGAAACCCTGGGAAGCCCTGTGAAAAGAGCAACAAACAATGTGATCACCTGTGAAATAACACCTGAAAAGGCTCGGACAAGCTTGGCTGGCCCCTTTCAAGACGGAGGCCTGTCAGTCCGTCATCAGTCCGCAGGTGGGGTGGACAGGAGGCCGCCACTCCACTGAAGTTTGTCATTTCTGTGGAGTGGCCATTACCTTTTCTCCTTTGGGACCCAAGTCGCCTCTTTCACCTCTAGATCCCTAGGAGGAAACCACAGGAGAGAGTTAATGCCTTGGAGCAAGGGAGGGACAATTGGAGCGTTTCAAACTGAAAAGCTCCTTAGGCCAATACCTTCATTTTACAGGCAAATAGGCTCAGAGATACCAGGTGACTTGCCCAGGGAAGGAGTGCTTTGTGATCTACCTTCTAGTTGAACTCCAGAGATCTCTTGCATTAATAAAGGACAACTCATATAAAATTCTGGGTCCCAGATCTTCTCTCATCCTGTGGGGAAATTGTCCCCAGGTCATGCTGGTTTTTGTTTTGTTTTGGTTTGGTTTGCTTTTTGGACAGATGAGGAGGATGGTGGTGGAAGCTTGGCCTAAAGACACACATCCGCCATCTGCCTGCAGCACTCCATGCAAACTGTGCTCATTCTCTACCAGGCACGGCCTTCGTTGGCTTATCTGCTTCATTGCGGGGCCTCTGCCTCCACGGGAGCCCTCCCTATCCTGCTTGCCTTCTTCAGGAGGCCCCTCACTTCTCTCTCAGCCCACTGACAAAGGACGGGGAATATCTAGGGATGGTCAGTGCAGTTGCTGACTAAAGAGAGAGCTGGGCCCACCCTCTGCATATCACCAATGCCAGGGCCTCCCACCCACACCAGGCTCTGGATGCCATCAGAGACCAGCACTAACCTTTTCCCCTCTGGATCCAGGGTATCCCTAAAAGAAAGCAGAAGGTGCATTTACAATCAACCCGTAGGACCTTTGGTTTGGTGCAGAGTGGAAGGAATCCCTGAAAGTGGTGGTGATATGTGTCTCCGCACTGTGCTGGAAGTTTTAGCGGGGTTGCAGAAGTAAACACAAAGATGTCCCAGAGGGTTGTGTTTATACCAGGCCTAAAAAGAACATTGCTTTTCTCACCCTGCAAAGACCTGGTCAAAGGTTTCCATCAGCCCTGTTGTCCAGAGGCTTGCCCCTCACTGCCCAGGAGAACAGCAGGAATGGCATCAATATGTCCCTGCATCCCAAGGCATGATGTCCCCTAAAGGTCTGGTAAAGGTGAGCACCCTGGTGCCAGGCCCTGCAATACCTGTGACATTCTCCAGCCTAGGATAGCAGCCCCACCTAGTCCCCATCTTTGTAGATGGCAGCTGCTCCAGAACCTTAGTGAAAAGACCTGGGAATGTCCATGTGGACCACACACTCACCTTGGAGCCCATTGGTCCTCTTGACCCTGGCAGGCCCATCATACCCATGTCACCTTTTTCACCCTGTGGGAAACAGAATACGGAAAAAAAGACCCACAGTGACATTTCTTAGAGAAACTGAACCAGGAGAGTCATGGGCAAGATCAGGATGGAACTGAGAACATTGGAACTGGCTTGTGAATCTGAGGCTCCAAATGTCCAAATGCCCCTTTGCTCCCTCCCAGAGTCCTACGGCCCCATACTCCATATTTCACTCCTATATTGAGATGAAACACAAAATGGAAATGCCCAAAGTAAAGCAGATCTCCAAACTAAATGCTCGCTAAGATGTTTTAAATGGTGATACTTGATCTTTTCCTAGTGAGGATTGTGAGAGGGTAGGGGAGAAAGCATGAGGGCACTGGGGCTTCAGAAGATAAGTTGTCAACACACAAAAAAACTTTGCCTGCTTTGCCCTTTGCATAGGGAGGCCCCTCCGAATGGTTTGCAATTGGAACTCCCAGTACCCTCTGTACTAAAAGACTTTATACCAGCATTAACCAGAAGACATATAAGGTGAGCCACATACTTACTTGAAAAGTTTTTTAAATGTCACATTAAAAGTAAAACTAAACAGGTGAAATTAATCTTAAGAATACATCCCATTTAATATAGTTAATTCAATCTAATTAGCATTTCAAAATGTAATCAATATAAAAATTATTAATGAGATGTTTTGCACTCTGTTTTTCATAACAACTACTTGAAACCTACTGAGTATTTTACATTTAAAGCACATCTCAGTTCAGGTGCTAAATTTTCATCCAAAATACTCGATCTGTATTTACAGTCCATAAAATTTATAGTTGAAAAAACAGATTCACACATTCAACTTGCTCCAAACATACTTAAATGTTTTCAGATAACTGACTTAAGTTAAGGTGTCTAAATTCGAACTTAAATTAATTAGAATTTAAAAATTTGGTTCCTCAGTTCATTAGCTACATTCCAAAGGCTCAAGAGTCACATGTGGCCAGTGGCTGCCATGTTGGACAGCTCAGCACTATACAGAGGATTTTTAAAAGAAATATCCTGGGACTTGTCCTAAGAAGACTGGAAACACAGTTTTCTCCTCCCATAACACATCCAGTAAGTGAATCAGAGAAGATGGTGTTAGCCATGTGCCCAGCCCTGACTTCTACAGGTAAAATTCCTGAGTCCTGGCCTCTGAACCCTCTAGCCTATGACCACCAGTGAGAAGAACACAAACTGAGGCATAGGTAGGGGTGTTTGCCTTCCATGCCCTGATTGAGGAAGGGATTTCACCAGCCCTTGGCAATCCCTCTCTGAACGTAGGATTGCCATTCCTCAGCCAGCCAACACACCCTACCAACCCTCCACCCGCTGCCAGATCAGCAAGACAGGCGAGAGCTTCCCAGGAACAAGCCCCTCTTAGGTCATCTCAGGGAAACCACAGAACAGGCTGCTCATTCTCAAGACAAAGGAGAACCAGGGTCCCTGTGAAAAGTGGAGCTGCCCCCCTTTTCTCCTCCCACAGAAACTGACCAAGGTCTTATAGTCCAAGTGAAGGAGGAAGTGTTTGGGGACCTATGGACAGTCCTCAAGCTCCCTTCTTCTTTCTCCTCTTGAGGAAGTGATTCACTGACTATGTGCCAGGTGCCAGGGGAGCTGCCATCCTCCCTCCTCTTGCTATGACACCATAAGAGCTCCCAAAGCACACCACACTTACCCTGGGTCCTTCAGGGCCTGGCCAGCCGACAGGCCCGGGCATACCAGGAACACCTGGGGGGCCAGGTCTACCCTTCAAAGACCAAGAACAAAAGTCAAGACAAATGGGTTTGTTTCTTTACTTCCAAGAAATAATATTTGCCTCTGGGACCCATGGGGAGGATGGGGCCTTCAAGTATGGCCCCCAGGACTCTCATCCCCACCCTCCAAAGACTGATGGCCTAAAGAGTTGGGTCACTTAGGTATAAGTTAAACCCTTAGTGTCACATTGTATCACCAAACAAGATCTTACTCTACTCAAATAGAGGGCGGTGGGAAAGGGATTCTAAACTTCTTGGTTTTTCAATATTCATCACCTCCACACTCCCGTCCCAAATGTCCCCTGCATTCCCATGGCTTCTTGCCAAAGACATGCTGTAGAACGAGATAGGACTATGTTTGGGGAGCAGTAGCTGATGCTGTTGGTACTCCCTCAAGGTCTTTTTTACCTGCTCAGAGCACCCATCCCCCCGAGGCTACCTTTCCTGTGGCTAACAACTCATTCCTGCAACCTGCAACTGTGGAGTTTGCCCTGGGGTAATTGGAACTGCCTAGTAATGTGCCTCTTCTTCCTGCAGCCAACAGCCCAGCTCCTCACCTCAAGGCAGGACAAGCTGTAGGGCAATTCACACTCCCCAGGTTCCCTAGGGATCAGGCCCCAGAGGCTGGGCTTCACCTGACACCACCGTCCCCAGCTTCTCCCACTCCCTTCCAGGCTCCTCCTCAGAGTGCTCCCTTAATAATTTCTTCACTTGCACGTGGTACATGCTGTCCCTGTCTCTGTCAAGCCAGGGCTATGGAGCCCTGCAAGAGAGAGTGAGAGCAGGAACTGGGGGTCTATCTTGACCTCTGCACCCACTGGCTAATTTCACATTAGCTAGACATGTGAAGGGCTCAGCCCCTAAACCAGAGGCACCAAATGCTGGCGTGTGTACTGGTTTCTTCTCTTGCCTCCCACATCCATGCAGACGTCACTAATCACTCATGGTCCTCGTTAGGTCTGAGCATGGAGACCACCCCAGGACTGTTTCCAGCCCAGCATTTCAGCTGTGCCATGGCTAGAGTTTTCATCTGTGCCCTACAGAGTTGTAATTTTGCCTTGCAAAGGTCTGTTCAGTTTAAGGCTGTTGTCAACAGTGAAACCATATGAACAAAAACATTTAATGAGAAATACACTAATTTATATTTAGAGCCATGTGCATCTTTCTTGGCCAAAGGTTTGCACCTCCTTCTATCATTGAGACCTAGGAATTCAGTGTCTGTATCCACCGACCACAGCAAATATAATAGCCTACTGATTTACTCCCTCTTGACACTAATGAGAGTCTTAATAACATGTATTTGGTTCACTCAGAGTCACTGTGACCTTAAGTAACTTCCATTTATTTCAGCTGGGCCAAAAAGCAAAAGCCATTTGTTTCTGTCTGCTCTGGCACTTTATGCCAGTTTAATCAAATAGACAGCGAGAGTTATTTTGTGTTAATGGTTGGGGCCTTGGAGGGTTTCTCTGATGGGTGGCAGGATGAGATGGTCTGAGGCTGGGGGAAATTTGGCCAGGCTTGGCAGCTCCTGGAAGGAGTCTGAATGCCTGGCAGTAGCAGGCTCCAACTCCTAAGCAAAGGATTTGGAAGAAAGGGCAAGATCACTCCTGTCATCCTAGGGGTGGCAGCACCATTATTGTCCACCTAGGTTTTTATTGGTGGCCACTGAAGTGCACTGCTGGTCCCCCATCCCAGGAGCGCACACACACTCACACGCACGTGGAGCACAGGTGCCCGTGTGACGCCGACAGAACAGCACAGACCATACCTTCCTTCCTGGTCGGCCAAGCTCCCCCTGTGGATGGAGAAGACAGGTGAGGAGAGGCTGCTTTGGAAGCAGAGGGCTTAGGAGGGCCGAGGACTGGGCACGGCCATGAGGCTCGGTCGCTTGGCCGCTCGCAGGCCCCCCAGCCATATCAGCGGCCAAGTCAGAATACACCAGTGGGGTCCCACACCTGCTGCAGCAGCTCAGCCATCACGGAGCCTAGCCTCACACACTAAGGCAGAATTAGCACATGTCTAGAAATCTCAACCAGAAAAGTGTTGGTGCCATCCCCAGAAAACAGGCTGGAATTACCAAGGAGAGATGGGTCGAAGAAAGTAGTGGCTCCTACCTTTTCTCCCTTTGGTCCTGTCTTGCCCGGAAGTCCTGGTGGACCCTAGACAATCAAGATAAGAAGTGAAGAAAGTATATATCAGACCGAGACAGGCCTGGCAGGGAGGCTCTTGGTGCACTGGGCTCCTACAGCAGCAGCCTCGTTCCCCACGCAGATGCCCCACCCACGAGGCCCCTCTCGTGCCCTCCGGCCCAATCCCCTCCTCTCTGTCCTGCTCCTCTTTAGCCTTCTCTGAGCTGTGGTTCCAGTGGTTCCAGGGCTGCAATGATTACACATCTACTCTCTGTGATTTTAATTTTCTCCCTAGAACCTTTGGTTGCCTGAAACATCCCAAGTGCTAGGTGAGAGCAACTCAAGAGTCTTGAAGAAATTCCATTTGCTGAAAACAGGAGGCTTTGCCGCCTCTCATATCTTTTCAGCTACTGTTACCAAGCTTCTGTGGGGTGCTGATGAGAGAGAAGTTAAGTTTTGCATACATCGGCAGCCAACCAAATTCCCATGGGTGATCTGTGGCTGCTAGGTGCCAAATAATTCTCCCCTTCCCTCCTTCGGCAGGAAAAGTCTTCTTTTTTAAGACATTGAGAATGTGGGCGAGTAAATTGTGCATTTTTGTCCCACTGCCCAGACACAGGAGTGGCACTGACTCCAGCTCAGGGACTCTAGAGCCCACTGCACCCAAGCTTTGCACACCCACAGCCAGAATGCAAGTGTTTTCTGCTCATGCACCTGTGAAATGCTCAGTCAGCTGCCATCCAAATTCCTCACAACAGCAGCCATCAAAACTCCGCACACCCACTGCACCTCCAAGATCTGCAGGTGAACTCACACAATGCGAAGCCCTGCCTTCTTGAAATAGGATTTCTAGAAACTTGTCCAACTGACACGCAGCCCTCCCAGCCAGTAGTTCCCAAATCTCTCAGCACAATACAATTTCTTGGGGATCTTTGAAAAATCCCAAAGCCCAGACCCCATCCCAGACCAATTAAATATCAGTCTCTGGGGGAGGGGCACAAGCATCAGCGATTTCTGAAGCTCCCCAGGGGATTGGAATTTGCAGATAATTTGAGAACCACCATCTTTGGCTTATTCATTGTCTGTTTGGGGATGGGGAGGAGCAAGAGTTTTCATTTCATTCCCTTCATTCCTCCAAGCCTTAGTTTTTTCCATTTCTCGAAATGGGCTAGAACTATTTTACAAGGTCATTGTGTTCTAGCTCAGTGCCTCTCAAACTTTAATGTTCAGATGATTTACACCATTCACTCAGTGGAGGGGTGGTGTCCTGTTAAGATGCAGATTCTGATTGAACAAGTTAGTGGGGATGAGGTTCTGCATGGCTAACCAACTTACATAAGACGCCAATGTCGCTGGTCCAGCGATCTCACTTTGGGAAGGGACAGCATTCATGCTGTGTGCTAAGGGAACCGAGGTGGTTGCACAGACCCTGCAGTTGGGCAGTGCAGACTCCGTGTGCCTCAAATGGGATCGCACAAGGTTAGAGATGTGCAAGTGTGACCAGAGAGCTACTACTCCGAGATCAGCAGAGAATCCCCCTTTTCCTTCCCATCTTCTGTGGGTTCCCATGTGCCCGAGATCTGTCAGAGTAGACTGCTGAAGGTGGGAAGATAGAAATGCACCTTAGAGGATTTCCATCTTGCCTTTCTGCAGACTTCCCAGCCCCTCTGCGGCAGTCTCTGGCCAACTCTAGGCTCAGAGTCCTGTTTTCTTTCTTGCAGTCAATAAATCTATAGGAAGAACCACGCACTGTTGGAGGCTGGAACACAGTAGTGAGCAAGATGGACAGTGTCCCTGTTCTCATAGACCAGGGGTCAGTAAACTTCTTCTGTAAAAGGCCAGATAGTAAATATCTTAGGCTTTGTGGGCCATATTTGGTGTCTGCCACAACTAGTCAACTCTGTCCTTGTAGTGCAAAAGCAGCCATAGACAATAAGACTTTAGTTAAAGTTTGAAACAGGCTGCTACAGGATTTGATCCACAAGTATAGTATGCCAACCCCTGCCACTGAGTAACATTTTACAGAGGGGAGACCCAGAGACCAGGAATGAGAGAAAGAGAGAGAGAGAGAGAGAGAGAAAGAGAGAGAACTGCAACAGGATGGAAAACTGTGCAGAGAATTAAAATAGATATTGTGACCGACAGATTGGGTGGTTGAGGAAGAAATGCAAGCTGAGTCCTTAGTGTCCAAAGGAGCTGGCCATGATAAAAACCAGAGTGAAGAACATCTCAAACTGCAGGAACTACAAGCGCAAATGCCCTAAGGCTGAAGCAGGCTTGGAGGATTTGAGGGCCCAGGCGATGGTCCCTGTGGCTGAGTGGAGAGGACGGTGGAGGCGGTGTGAGATGATGTAGGAGATGCGGGCCAGAGTCCCCTACCGTGGAGCTTTGTAATCCAGGGTTAGGAGTTTGGCTCTTAGTCTTCCTGTGACGGGAAGCCACAGGAGGGTTTACCCAGAAGTGTGACATGATTTCTGTGCCCCCTGCATGGGAAGGCACCCGGGGAACTGACTGATCCTTACACCCTCTTTCTCCTCCCCATGGAAGGCCCGGAGCCCCGGGCCAGGGATGTCCTCGTTGATGGAGCCCCTCTCAGAGGTGGGCCAGAGTAGCCAGGAGTCTGTAAGGTGGGGTCTCTGCAGGGTACTCTTTTGTTTGTTTTGAAAGTCCTTTCTCTAAAAATAAAAAATAAAAAAAGAAAGTTCTTTCTCTAGCATTTTGCCTGTTCCTCACTCTTCCCTTTAGCTTTTGTGGGGAGCAGTGGGCTGCTTGGTAGCAGTACTAGGGGACCCAGTGAAGCTCAGGGTGACAAGTTCCTCTTTGCTCCCACTTCCCAGCACTGAATACAGCACCTCTGGGTCCACCGGGGGATCAATGAGCACACGAGGCACTGTCATCGAGGGTTTGCTGACAACTGTAATGACAACCACATCCACATAGGCAGCATCTCATTTGATTCCCCCTGAAATCCAGGACAGCAGGGGCAATTATTATCCCCATTGCATAGAAAGGGAATCCAGTCTGGGGAGCCAGAATTCACTCAGAGGGGGTCAGTGGTCTATCCATGTGGCTCTGGAGCAGGAGGTAAGCGAGAGAAGGAAACACAGCCCTGTATCACATGTGAAGGGGCACACACTAAGAGGCTGTGCCCAGTGGGCTTCCCTACTCTGAACAGAAGGCAGCAAGAGGGTCTGGAATGGTGCACCAACCTGGGGGCCGGGAGGCCCAGGGGAGCCGAGCGAGCCTTGCATGCACGAGGACTGCGAGGTCTCCAGTTCCAGGATGAGGTTCTTCATGTCTGGGGAGAGAAGCTTCAGTGCAAAGCAACACAGGGATAGAGGTCAGACTTCGGGGACAGAGGAAGGGTCCCCACCCTGGACACAGACCTGCTCCAGGGCCAGGTCCCCAAGACTGGTAGTTTCCTGGCTCCCCAATGAATGACCCAAGATGACAACATTCTGGGCCGCCAGCTTCTGTTCTCTCAGCTGCTCTAGAGACGTGCCTGGCTTGAGTGGATTACAGAGGCATAATGGCCTCTTTGGACCGAGTCAGGAAGCTCACTTCAGGGGCTTTATCCAATGTCTAGGACAGCACTGTCCAATGGAAATGTAATGCGAGCCACCAGTGAGAGCCACACTGTACTTTTAAATTTTCTGGTAGCCACAATTTTACCTTTTAAAAAGGTAAAAGGAAACAAGTGAAATTAATTTTAATAGCATATTTTATTTAACCCAAAAAGTTATTAATGAGATATTTAACATTCTTTTTTCCTTACTAAGTATTCAGAATCTGGTGTGCATTTTACACTTACAGCACATCTCCACTTGAACTGGCCACACTGCAAGTGCCTGATACACATATGGCTAGTGGGTCCTGTATCGGACAGCGCAGGTCTAACAGTTTCCGGAAACAGCTGAGAATCCCAAGTCCCTAGAAGGCCTCGGTCTGTTGTCTTCTAGGTCAGTTTCCCGATCTGTTTGGTCACCTTTTCCGCTTCCCAAATTCTATTCCCTCTCACACCTCAGTGTGGCTACAGGACTACTTCCTGAGGTACTTTATGGAAATGGCCTGCGTTAGACACGGGCTGTGGAATGGAATTTCATAAATACTTGTGGAGAAGAAAAACAGAAAGGGAAATTTCATATCTCAGCAGCTGATGGGAATCCAGAAAGTTATAAATTCCCCTCACTGTTTTCAAGAAGATGGGATGTTGCCAAATCCAGTTCCCTGCTGAGAAGGCTTTCCCTCCATCCCTTATTTAAGATTGCTGGAGAAGGAGGGACGTGCCCCAGAAACTGCAAACTGTCCATTCCAGGGCTCAACCTCCGGGCGAGAGTGAAGGGTTGAGCCTGTCAGAAAAGCTCCCGGAGGCAGCTCACGTTGAGTGTGGGCAGATGGGAGGGCTGTGCGGTGGCACTGACATACTCACCGGGCTGCGGCCCCCCCTGAAGAACGGTGGTGGGAACAGCGGCGGTGGCGGCGGCGTCGGCAGGCAGCATGCTTTGTGGCCACCACGCTTCTTCTGATCCAGGCTGGGAAGGGCTGTTCAGAGAAAACCGCTGCTCGTTAGCGGGGTCAGTGGCAGGGCCTCTGTCATGCCCACTGTGCCTGGGGAGACCCATGCTGCCACCCCAGACTTCCAAATCTAATTTCTGGCCTGTGAGACATGAGTGCACCTCCGGATTGTTCCTTGACAGAGCCTGCCCTTGCCTTTGCAGAATTAAGACGGTCAATAAACAAGCAGATGCTGTGGACACCGTGACCATTATAAGGTCCGTTTCTCCTTCTTCAGATACTGACTTGTCACTTTGTAGATGTGGCAAGGTGTGCAAAGTTCGGACGCGTAATGTGCCCCCCGCTGGGGAGAAGGAAGTGTGTGTTAATAACTTTGATGTACTCAGAAGGAAATTGTTTAGACAGGGAGGCAGAATCAATCAAATTCATTAATTACAGGAGACCCGGACTCACCACTTAAGACACATATATTGACGCTAGACTCTACACACATGTGAGTGTCAGCCATCCGACTGGAGAGTCACAGTAATGCCTCTGTATATGGGTGGCCTAATCCCAAGTGTGAGGACAGGAAGGGAAGGCCCTGCCCCTTTATAGCTTTATTTTCCCGTGGAGTCTCGCCTATGTTCCATGTTAGCATGTGTGCAGTGTTGGAGTATGCCTTACAACAAGCACACGGATGCGTTACAGCCCAACAGAAACCAGCACCTAGACTGAGAAACAGAACTCTCCCAAACCCAGAAGCCCCCTTAATCTCCAATCTCTGCATTCCCCCTCCACCCCGCCACCATCCTGAATTCGAACACCAGGGATTCATTTTGCCTAATTTTGAACTTTATGTAAATGGAACCGTAAAATATGAATGCCTGTCTTTGGCTTCTCTCACTCAGCATAGAGCCTGTGGGAATCACCCAGGCTGTGTGTGTAGCTGTTACCCTGATCGGAGTTCCACTGTGTGACTCCGTCTACTTATCCATTCTGCTAAACACCGCTGATGTGCGTTGGGTTGATACCACTACACACCCACCAGAAAGGCTAAAATGAAAAGGACAGACCATAACAAATGTCGCAAGAATGTGGAACAACCAGAACTATCAAACTTTGGCTGGCAAGAATGCAAATTTTTACAACCTCTTTGGAAATTGCTTGACATTTTCTATTAAAGCTGAACACAGACATACACTATAGCCCGCCAATTCCACTCTAGGGATTTACTAACAGATAAGTGGGTGTATTTTCACTAATACACATGTACTAGAATGTTCACAGCAGCAATATCCATAATTGCCCAAACCTATGATTTTTCAGCTCCCAGTTTGGGTTTCACAATGGTACCCTCACCTGCACCCCTTCACAGAACCCCTGACCTCACAGAACACGTGCAGGGTGACCACCATGTGCTCTCGGCTCTGATCCCAGTTTTCTGTCTTATCTCCCAGGGACCAGTGTCTGCCTATTGTCTGCTCCCAGTGCTCCAGAACCTGCCTCAGCACCAGGCAAGTAAGTGCTGGTTGCTCCCCAGAAGTAACCAGGTTGTACGGCCACTGTGTCAGCCCCAGTGCAGCCCAGCCCTGGATACTCTTACTTATTCATCAAGAACTGTTCAGGTGCCTCCTCCACCAGGAAGTTTTCCTTGACTTCCCAGGCCAAGGTTGAGTGGCCCTGCTGTGTTTTTCTCTGGGTTGACCCCTGTTAGGTCTTTTCTATGGGGAAAAACTGTTTCCTTGAATCTCTCTGACTAAACTGTGCTTTCTGAGAGGAGCCAGTTTTTATCCCCCGGGTCTAGCACCGTACCTGGCATACACTAGGCACTCCACAAATGTTTGCTGAATTAATAATATTAATGACAAACTCCACGTGCAAGGCACCATTTAAATAGTTCCCACATATAAATTCACCTACTCCTCACAGCAACCCTGAGAGCTAAGTACTGATATCATCATCATCCCCATTTTACAGATCAGTTAACGGAGACAAAGAGGTTAAGCAATGTGCCCAAATTCATATAGCTAGCCAGTGACAGAGCCAGGCCCTCTGGTTCTGGAGCCCCTCCTCTTGAACTCTACACTATAACTGCGTGTGGGTAGAAATGAAAGTGGGGAGCTAAGAAGGCGGGGAGGGGGTCCTACAACCACTACTGGAGACTACAGCATCAATGCCACAGCCAAGGACCGCGGGAACACACCTGCAGTTCAACCAAGCAGGGTTTGCTGACTCGCTGCAACGAGGGAGAACACAGGAGTATCTGTGGGGCTTCTTAGTAAGGCAGTGTTAGAAAGGATTTATTTTAGGATTGGGGTTTTTGCTGGGTGATTTGGGGAGACACTAGGAGGAAGGAAAGTGTGGCTTCGCTCTGGATTGGATGCTATCAGGAAGGAAGGGCTAGTCTATAATTGGGTGTCTTAATTCTTATCTAGAAGAGAACAGAGCAAGACTAAAGCAGTGATCAATTTAAAAACAAAAAAGCAGCAATCACTCCTATTAGCAAGGATAGGAGAATGTTTGGTCATTTTAGCGGTTGGACGATAGTCTTGTTTTCGTCTGTGTTCACTCATGATTACAGTAATTCTTTCTTTCGTTTTGATCCATCAAAGTCACAGGTGGCTCCGTCTGATGTTGGTGTCTGTGACATTGATTCTGTGCTGCAGGAGAAGACCATGCTGAGCTGTGAGTGTCGGGTAAGCTCCAGCTGTCATGGGCAGCTCTCCTGGTGGTAAGATAATATATCTATATCGTTCTAGAATTTGATATTAGCATCAGTGTATTCCTCTTCAAGTTTCTTTCCTAGAGTGCTGAGTAGCTAAGAGTGAGCAGCTTCAGTTGTTCCACTCACCCTTGGGCACGTGGAGAAGGCTGGCAGGCTCCCACCAACCCTGGAACCCTTTTAAGGTCCACTGCAGTTTCTCCTTTGCCTCCCTCTCTTTTGCCTCAGCAGACAGCTAAGGGCTGAGGCTGCAGTTTCCCACAAAGCCTCTCCCAGCCAGGAACACCTGGGAGGCTGGCGGGTCCGCACGGCTAATTTGCACTCATCACCATGATTTTTCCAGACCATATATGGCCTCCGATGCCTTCCTTCACCCCGCACCCTGTGTGGCCTTCCACTGGTGAAAGACCTTGCATCATTCAAAGCAATAACTTCTCTCATTTCTTCCTGGAAACTGGAGACCTCTCCAGTGACCACAGATCATTGGATGCTTTTCCTGCTGAGGCATCTGCATTGTTCACTCCCCCACCCCATTCCGCCTCACCCTTCCCCTTGACCCGCTTCACTTCCAGCAGGTGAAGGCCATCTATTTCTGCCCCTCCCCCAACACCCTGGAGCTGTTTGTTTTTAGCAGTCTAGTTTATTTACAGCTCATTCCAGCTGAGGATATTTCCATCAGGTGGACGCTTTGAGAGCAGCTTCCCCCACCCTCCTCCCTCCCAGTCAACTAAGCCAGGACTTCACATGTCTATTTCGGTGTCACCCGAGTGGCCTGTGGGTCTTCAGGGCCATGCTGTCTCTGTGGAATCGTGTCTGAGCTCAGGGTCCAGTCTGGAAAAGCCCAGAAGGCTCTGTTGTAATGAAAACAACCGTGTGTGTACACAGAACCTGCAGAAGCCCGGGCGCACCCCGTGGCTCAGTCCCAGGCAGCTGCCTTGGAAATGCCAACTATCACGGAATTTCAGCACCACCTGCCCTGACTTAAAGGCACCAAAGTTATATTGTATGTGGCCGCTGCATCACCAAAGGATGGGTAATTGTTTAATGTAGGCTTTTGGCAAGTGTTTGGTATTTTTTTGCTGTTTTTGATGCTGGTTTTACCTGTCGGACTCAATACTTACTCTTGAAAAGGAGACTTTCTCCTATTTCATTTTGAGAAACTGAGGCACATCCTTGGAAAGTGATTCACTCCAAATTACTCTTGGAAAGATATGGACTTGGAGCAAAGAGTATGAGTCTGGGCACAAGTGGTCATGTGACCTGGCACAACTCACTTCCTCAGTCTGGGACTTAGTTTCCTCATCTGTACCACAAGGGGTTTTGCCCAAGCCATCTGCAGAGTCCTTCTTCAAATAAATCTGACACCAGGATCACCACTGTGCCCATCTTCGTCTCCCCACTCACAGCCACCCCAGCAATAGGTTACTGAGGACAGCCTTTTCCATTTCTGCCTCCCGTTTTTGCATCAAGCCGCCCCCCTCAAATCCAGCAAATGTATCATTAGAAGTCACCAAAGGAAAGACGTGACCTAAGCACGCTGCTTTAGCAGGTTGGAAAATTACAAGTGCAGCCATATGCTAACTGTTTTGCACCTGCTTGTCCAGTTGGTGAGCTAGTCCACGTTTTACTTCCTCCTCCTGCTTTGGGGCCTTTCCCTGCCTGTGGGAACTTGCACTAGAAAGAGACCTGGGTGGCAAGATGGCCAAGGGCACATCCATGGCAGCTCCATGGCAGCTCTCAGTGCTCTGACTGGGAGTTGGGCGTCTCAGCTACAATAAACTTTTCATGTTAACTGGTTGTAATTTGCCCCAAGTTTTCCCCAATTCACATATTCCGGAGAAGGCTGCACCCTATGCATTTCCTTCAACCCCCACACAAACTTTGAAAAACAAATACTGATCCTAAAAGTTGAAAGTAATCTGAACTTCTCTGAAAGACCATGGTAGAAGTTTGCCATCTGCAGTTTGCCCCTGAGTGGGAGAGGACACAACCTACAAAGAAAACAATTTGGCACTTTGGTGGCTGTGCTGCTGAGCCACACTACCTAAGCCGGTCCACTTGGAGAGTGAGGGGGGAGTGTCTTTGCCAACTGATGCCTGGGGACCCCAGACTACAGAACAAGATTTTACTTCAAAGCCAAGGGAGCTGCAGCTGCCAGCCTGCCAGCCTGAAGTCAAGGTCACAGAGAGGCACACACAAGAGTACACATGAGCATGTACACCAGGCCCCCACCAACTCCACCTTGAAACCCCTTTATATTGTGATTCCAACACTGGCTGAGAATTTTAAAATTTAAAGCCTGCTCCCCAAACAAGTCTGCTTTCCAAGAGTCTTTTTGCCAAACAACGGGAGCATGCAGACACATGTGCACACACGCACACACAACTCACCTAAGCAGCACGCTGAGTAACAGAGCAGTCCTGAAATGATGAGCATATGAACGAGGCTGAATGATGGGTCTGTCATCGTGAGGCAAGGCCCAAGGCGGACTGGCCAGGGAACACAAGCTGGAGACAGGCTGAGATTTGTCACGCCCCCAAGTGCTCCCAGTGCCTGGCCTGCTTGGCATTTGGGGTGGGAGTCAGCCAATCCCTGCTTTGATGTTGCTTCTGCCCCAGATGCCAGGGGTCTAGGAGCAGGAATGGGGAGGAAGCCCTGCTCTGGCTGCCCACAAACGCTGCTCCAGGGGAGGCTTAGAGGACAAGAGTGCCTTTGGCTCAGGGGAGGATGCAAGACTGGGAGCCCAGGGATACTGATCCCCCTGCAAGCCGAGAAGAAACGGAGTGCAATTGGTCAAACAGGCTGCTTTTCATTTGGCTCAAAAACTGCCTCGTCAATACCGCTCTGGCAAGCCTCAAAGTCAACCCCCCACCGAGACTGTGCAAGGGGAATCTGCCCTCTTCTGCTTCAGAGAAGACCTTAGTGGCCAGGGGACTCAGCTCTCACCTCGTCTGTGCCAAGGTACTGCTGACAAAGCTAAACTTAATTAAAATAGCAACAACACAAACAAACAAAAAAATGGCACATGGGCAAATCTTTTTGGACAAAGCCTGTCTATAAAATAATAAAGTGGCATATCCAGATACACACTGAAATCTGTGCCTTATAGGCATACTCAGTGCATGAGCATGGACACACACAATATTCTAGATTAAAAAGATAAGATTATTAGTACTTAACAATAAGCACTGTTGTTTTAACCAACTTGGTAAAAACCACACAGTGTAACAGGAGTTAGCAAACTCCAGGGCCAGATAGTAAATATTCAGGCTTCGTGGGTCACATGGTCTCTCTTACAACTTAACTTTGCCATTGTACATGAAAGCAGCCATATGCAACACATAAAGGAATGAATACAGCTGTGTTCCAATAAAACTGTATTCACAAAAATAGGAGGCAGACTGGATTTGACCTGCAGGCTGTAGTTTGTTGAACCCTGCACTATAGCCTTCAAAAGAAAAGACACTTCTTGTATTCAATCATTTACTGTTTCATTCATTCAGAAACACATACAGCGAGTGCCAAATTGTGCAAGATGCAATGACTAGACACAATTCCTGCCCTCAGAATGTGTCGTTCAGTGTCATGGAAAGAATACCAACCCTGGAATCTTGGTTTTTCCACTTAGTAGCTGTGTGACCTTGACAAAGTTATTCATTCTCTCTGTCACCTTCCTTATCTGTAAAGTGGGTATGGCAAAATCTACCTTGCTAGTTTATTGTGAGGATTAAAGCTACAGCTTGTGGAGTTCTTGGCCCCAAATCAGGGCTCTTTTATTGACATATTCTTGGATAACTATCGTGTAAGGTGGAAAAAAGAGAAATGGCTAACATGGGATGTATGGAAGGATTTACAAGAGGAAGAGATGGGTTCCAGTTGAGGAGAAGGGGGTCCAAGTGAGAAATCAGGGAAGGCTTTCTGGAAGAGGTAGCATTTGAGCTGAGCCTTGAAAGCAGAGGAAATTTGCTGGTACCAAGATGGGAGGAGTGGGAGGGAAAGCTTAGGCTCTGGGCCTCGGTCCTTCTCTGGGGAATTCCCCTTTGTCCTTCTTGAAACAGCAACAGCAATAAGGACAGAGATTGCTCAGTCTTGAGTCCTGGACAGTTGCAGAAATATCTGCATCATATTTTCCCAAATTTCCCTGTTCTGGGTCATATTCCTGAAGATCTTCATTTTTCAAACTTCATTTCGGAAACCCTTGGAGATGGAATTTTGCCACTTTTCACACCAAAAGCATTTTTTTTACCACGTGGCATCAAACTTTTTCTAAAACAGTTTTCAAATGTAAAAGCACTCAGTTGTAGTTTATTTCATTATTGTAAAAATGAAGGTGTCTGGATTGGATGATCGCTGGGCTCCTATCCAGCTCTGCAGGTGCTCGAAGCTCTATTTTGAACCTAACGATTTAGGTTCATGAATGTCTTCTTCTGTCTCTCTCTTCTCTGTGTTTCCCTCCTTCTGCCGTTCTCTTTTCTATCTCAGTCTTACTGTCTCTGTCTCTGTGACTCTCTATCTCTAACTTTGTCTCATTCCCTGGCTTTGTCCCTGTCTTCCCAAGCACTAACAGTTGAATTTCCTTAAGTCAAATGCCTGGATGTATCTCAACTACCTTTAACTCCCTTCAGCCAGGTGTGCCAGCCTGGGATTAGGAACCCTTGTCTCTAGCCCTGGCAGTGACTTGCTGTGTGACCTTGGACGACTCATTTTCCCTCTGGGCCTTGATGGGCTCTAAGCCCTTTTCAGCTCTGGCTTCTTCCAGGGGCTGGAATTCCTGAGACATACGTGGTCCTTCATAAGGGTCCTGGACAAAGAGGGAGGATCTCCCCTGTTCCCCACTGGTGAGCAATCTTTGCCCTCAAATTCCCTCAGGTGCCTTGGCCACAGCACCGGCTTATCACAGCAGAGCTGCCTGCAAAATCTAATTCATAATAAAAGTTTCCGGGGCCTTCTTGAAGCTGTCAGCAGGTGTCATATTCACAGTATTTCGTCTTAATTGCAGCTCTGGGATTTATCAACCAGTCCAGAGACCACTTCTGGAATACGGCCTCCTGGGCACTGTTCCAGACCCTCCTGTCCCCGCTGCTGCCACACACAGGCCTGCTCGCTGCCAACGAGGCCAAAGTGGGTTCTGCTTTGCATCTTCCTCTTTCGGTGTCTCCTACCACTACTGCAGAGATATTTTTTTTTTTTTTTGAGACAGAGTCTCACTCTGTTGCCTGGGCTAGGGTGCCGTGGCGTCATCCTAGCTCACAGCAACCTCAAACTCCTGGGCTCAAGCGATCCTCCTGCCTCAGCCTCCCGAGTAGCTGGGATTACAGGCATGTGCCACCATGCCTGGCTAATTTTTTCTATATATTTTTAGTTGCCCAGCTAATTTCTTTCTATTATTAGTAGAGACGGGGGTCTCACTTTTGCTCAGGCTGGTCTTGAACTCCTGACCTTGAGCGATCCTCCCGCCTCAGCCTCCCAGAATGCTAGGATTATAGGAGTGAGCCACTGCGCCCGGCCCACAGAGAGATTCTGTGGCTTAGATAACTCAGACACCCTTCCCAGGGATCCAGAGTACCCGTGTGAGGCAAAGACATCCACATGTTTGGGGCAGAGCCTAGGATCCCATCAGCCCTGGGGCACTTCACATCTGCTGCTCCATCCCAGAACCTTGGTGGGCAGAGGAGTAGGTAGGAGGACCTGGGTTCTACTTTCCCACTGACAACAATTCTCTCCTTGATGAAACTTTGGTCAGGCTCCTCTAAGCCCTCCTCCTGACTAGGCCGCAACTGTGAGCTTCTGTGTCCCTCCATGCAGAATCCAATTACAGTTAAGAACCCTATTCTTGCTATAATCCTAATTCTAAACTGATAAGTGAGTTTAGAAAGACTCCCTCACCCTTGATATCTGATCACCCTTGATATCTGATCAAATTCCTCATTTCCCACCTTTGGCCTCAACCCAGTAGTAAGGCACCAGCGATGGGAAACATTCCCTGATGTTCCCCATTCAATCCTTCTTTGACCTCCACAATAATACCACAAAGTGTGAATTAGTATTATCCTCATTTTCAGACAAGGCTCAGAGAGATTAAGGGATGCACCTAAAAATCACACACAGTCAGGAGGTAAGTAGGCCAGGATAGAATCCAGATGTCTGACTCTGGAGACTTTGTGCTGGTCACCAGCACAAAGTGGTGACCTCTTTTCACCACCACCACCTAGAGAATGAGCAGGAAACCTCAGAAAAAATGGCACCCAAAGGAGCCAGAGGTGTTGCCTCAGCCAGCTAGGGTTAGAGTCATTTACCAATGCTCAGAATCATGTCTTTCTAACCAAACCTTAGGATTATTCATCTCTGGGTTTCAGTTTCCTGCTTTGTAAACTCCCTTGAGCAGACAATTCTGGTTGCCTCTCTGCCTATCCTGACCACAGAGACGGTTCGATCAAGGGTGTTGGTGGCCTTCAGTCAACATACATTTACCTTTCCTATTCTACTCCTCAAAGTGGGCAACGGATCTGAAACTAACTTTGAAATCCACCAAAAAATAAAATGGATGGGTAAACAGATATATGATAGAGTAAATACAGTAAAATGATAATCAATGCAGAATCTATGTGGTGGGTATATTAGTCTGCTAGGGCTGTCGTGACAAAGTACCACAGACTGGGTGGCTTAAACACAGAAATACGTTTCTCATAGCAGATTTGCTTTCTCCTGAGGCCTCCCTTCGGCTTGTGGACGGCCACCTTCTTGCTGTGTCCTCACATGCCTTTCCTCTGTGCACACATCCCTGGTGTCTCTTCGTCCAAAGTTTCTCCTCTTAAAAGAACATCAATCAGATTAAATTAGGGCCCACCCTAATGGCCTCATTTTAACTTAATCACCTCTATGAAGAACCCCCATCTCGAAATATAGTTACAATCTAAGGACTGGGTATTATTAGGGCTTCACCATATGAATTTTGGGGAGACACAATTCAGCCCGTAATAGTGGACATATTCATATTCCCCGAACAGTTCTTTTCACTTTTTTGAATGTTTGAAATTGTTCATAATAAAAAATAAAATTAAAAAATGTTAAGCATGTAACAGAAAACCAGAAGATATCTCCACATGGGTTAGAGTTGGGAGTAGGTCAGCCAAACGCCCATTTTGGCCAGTATCTAGGGGCTCCTGGAGCTGCATGGAGCTGGGGCATCAGTGTTACCTGAAGAAGCCTGCAGCCACTCATTATGAGACCTTGGGTAGGTCACTGAATCCCCTCAAAGGGCATTCTCTTCTGCCCCCACCCCACCCCAAAGAAATGCCTTGAGGAGGAAAAGTCTGCCTTCACTGCAAGGATGAAAGAAAATCAATCATTTTATTTGTCATTATTTTATATAAGTCATATGTATCAAAAGTGTCTCCTTTGTACACACAGATTTAAAGAAACAAATCTATCCCCTTTTTCCTCCACAAAGGAAATATTTTGGACCTTATCTAAAGAAAGCCATCTGCTTTTTGAGTTCAAGTTCTAATTTGACCAAATGGCATGTGGTAAGTAGAGAGGAAGGAGAAGACAATGCTATTAGGAGCCAAGGGAACATAAAGAAACCTCCCCGTGGCTGGCTGCGCCTTGGCTCTGAATTTGATTACAGCGGCCAGCATAAATCAGCCAGTGCTATTAAATCTTCTGCTAGTGCTTGACAGAGGAGGCCAAGTTTGTAGAATTACTTGGGAGATCTGGCCACAGG